TGTAAAGCCACCCCTTCCTGCTGTTCCTCAGCCTTTCTATTAATTCTCTCTGTTGAAAGGGCTAGAATGGTTTCTTTTTTTCCTGGTTGAACTTCGATGACTTCACAGGTGAAGAAACTGAGGCCCAGAGAGACTGAGTAATTTACCCGGCACACGGCCAGCAGATGGCAGAGTCAGGATTTGAGCCCAGGCACCCGTGCTTCTCAAGGTGGGGTGGAAGTGGGTGGGGATTATTATTACTCTGGCCTCAGACTCCACTGCCCTTGACCTGTCTCCCTGCCTCTGGCCCCAGGTGCTCTCCCAGCCAGGATGCATGGCCATGCACCTCCGTAATCACCTCTGTTTTGGCCACTGCTCCTCACTCTACGTCCCTGGTGTGGACTCTGCCCTGCTTGTCCTCTGCAACAGCTGTGTGCCCGCTCGAAGGCACTGGATACCCGTGTTCCTGTGGTGTCGGGTGGGCAGCCCAGGCTCTCGTCGGCGGTTGAAGACATCCACAGTGCTGGTGGAGAGGTGTCAGTGCAGCCCGAAGGCATGAGCTGAGCATCACGGACTGACACACAGACATACTCACCTTGGAGAGATGGGAGTCAGAAAGACGCCAACCTGGATTATGTACTAGGTCAAAGAGACCAGGGATGCAGGGAAAGCCAGATGAGCCTCCCAAGTCCTCACCTTGCTCCCAGGAACACCAGACATAGCCCCAGCCATAGAGGTAGATGACTCATAGTCATAGCACACACTTATTGAGCACTCACTGTTGGCCAGGCCCAGCTCTAAGCATGTGACATGTACTTACTTGTGTCATCCTCAGAGCTGCCCAGTAACATAGAAGTATCACTTCATTTTATAGGGAAGGAAACTGAGGCCCCAAGAGGCAAAGACACTCGCTCAGGGTCACACAGCAGCACCTGGCAGAACCAGCATTTGAACTCAAGGCAGTAACCACCAGGCTGGACCTCCTCACAGAATAAATCAGACACACTCCCAACTGCAGGGAGAATAGATAGCCCCACCCAGACCAGGACACACAGTGACAACCCTGACCTAGGGACCCCAAGAAACCAAGGCAGGAAGGCAGACATAGCTACTGGGGGAAACTTGGACTTCCCAAGTCAGAGGCAGAACCCACATGTTCCAGCTGCCCCCTCCCAGTCTCCACCCAGCCCCATGTCCAATGTGGCATTTCTACAGGAACCATAAAGGTTGACGGAGTCCAGTTGTGTGTATATGTGTATGTGTGTGTTTGTTCCTCCAACTGGAGTTCCCTGGGAGTAGGTGGCCCTGTGGAATGTGGGCATGGGGGATGCTCCCTCCTCAGTTGGGCACGGGGACAAGGGCAGCCTGGCTTTGGGCGTCTGGAACCAGGGCCCTAGCAGATGGGCCCGTCTGGCACAGACGCAGGGACATGTGGCGCTGTCAGGGTTGCCTCCAAATGCTCCCCGGAGCGCAGGGCGGTGGTGAGGGGGCGACCGGGGCCCCCCTCAGCCCTCTTCCTGCCTCAGGAAGGAAGGCCCCAGGTGAGGGGAGCAGGAGGAGGGGACCCGAGGAAACAGATGGGCCAGTGGGGCGTGGGAGCCCATGACCTCTGACCCCACAGGCCAGCACAGAGGGGTGGGAACAGGCCAGGCAGGCAGCTCCCAAGGCTCTGCTCCAAGGCCCCGAGATGGGGAGTCATGAGTGGCCCACAGGGGAGGGGTGTGCTCTCCCTCCTTCCTCCATGGTTCTGTGCCAAACCTCAGGCAGTGTCCGAGTGGGTAGCTCAGCCTTGGCACCATGGGCACCCCCTCTCTGGCAGGCATATGAAGCGCCTGCTTCCACCCCCTTTCAGCTGTGCCCACCTCCTGCCAGCCGGAGAGCCAGCTGGGAACCTTGGTGCCAGGGGGGCCCCGGCATCCCTGCCCCCTCCTGGGCAGTGCCAACTGGCCCCCACCCCCACTCCCCAGGACCATTAATGGGTGGGTAATGAGTGCTAGGGGAGCGGGGGAGGGGCAGGGATGCAGGTGCCACAGGCGCTGGCACAGGGGCTGCTAATCAGGTTTGCCAACGCCATCTGTCACCGCGCGAGCATCTGGGGCTCAAGGTGACCCTGTCACCCTCAGTTACAATTATGAGTTTGGCATCTGTATTAAAGCCCGCCAGCCGGCCAGGAGGGGGAGGGCTGGGGTGGGTACGGGGGTGCACAGCAAGCCCTGTCCCGGGGGTCCCGTTCCCAGGGGCTGTGTGACTGCCAAGGCATGGAGCTTCTCCCTGCTTAGGGGAGTTGTGTGTGTGTGTGTGTGTGTGTATACATGTGCTCCAGGCTGCACAATTCTTCGAGCATGCCTGGGTGCAGGATTGGGAGTCTGGGTTTTTGTGTGTCTCTGGGTGCGGTGGCTATGTGTTTGAGTTTGGTGGGATGGCTGGGGATGGGGGGCAGCTCTGAGATCGTGTGGCTACACAGAGCAGTGCGAGTCCATGTGCTGGGAGAGGAGTGAATGGTGGGTCCAGGTGCCTTTGGGTGATGGTGTGTGTCAGGGTATATGTGTGATGTGTGTGTGTGTGTGTGTGTGTGTGTGTGTGTGCATCTGAGAGTGTGTGGTGCTGTACATCTGATGGTCAAAGGCTGGCTATATGTTTGGTCATGTGGATCTGTGTGTAAGATTCTGTTGAAGTATGTGTGTGCATGCATGTGCGTAAACACACTAGGGCAGCTGCTGGGAGAGGCTCTGTGTGGTCACTGCAGGGCTTCTCTCCTGCCACTTTTATTTGTTCCTGTCCTCACAAACCCCTGCTGCTGGGCTCTAATCTGGGGGCTGGGGAAGGCAGGGGGCTGGCTCTGAGGAGGGCTCTGGGCTTCCAGTTCTTGTACCTGGATTCAGGGTTCTCAATTCTAGATTCTGAGAGCAGGATCTATACTTTTAGATTTTGGATTCTGGGCACTTGGACCTGGATTTTAGATTTTGGGTCCTCAGTTCCTGGATCTGATTATAGATCTTGGTATCTGGGAATCTAGGTTCGGATTCTGGATTTTGGGATCTGGATTCCAGGCTCTGAATTCTGGCTTTGGGTTCTGGCTTCTGGACCCTGGCTTCCCATCTCTAGGCTCTGGGTGCTGAGCCTGGGCCTATCCTCTGCCCTTGTATTCGTAATAGGCCACTAGGCCATCCCCTACCTCGCCCAATGGGTGCAGAGACCACATATGGCCACCAGGGGACACCCTTGGTCCAGATTTGGGCCCAGATGACCCAGACATGGACGGTTTGGAGACCTCCCTGGCCTGGCTTGACCCAGCCCTTTGAAGAGGAGGAGGGGGTTTTACTTCCCTTCCTTCCCATTCCCATCTGAGCTGGTGACTGATATCTGTCAAACATGGAGAACTGGACCCAGCATCCCCACAGACCCTCCAACCTGGGCTGGGGGACGGGGCGCCAAGCCATTGGGTCAAATGCAGGGTGGAGAGAGCACATGTCATGGGATGTTGTCAATGAGTTTGCAGGTGTGACAGTGCACCATGTGGCTGGGGTAGCCACATATGGCAGTGTTCTGTGGAGTGTGGGCCCATGTGGTATGTGGTATGTGGCCATGTGTGACTGGGACCACATGTCTGGCAGGGTCCTCATGTGACATTGCTTCTGTAGGGCCCTATCTATAACTGTGTCACTTTGGGGTAAGGTAGGAGTCCCTGTCATATGGATGTGTCTGACTGACCATGACTGTATCTGTGGGTGTATCTGTAGGTGTCACTGGGTCCATGAGAGTGTCTGGGGCAGTGTCCCCAAGACTAGGTCCCTGTGTTGATGGTGTCTCGTCAGTGGGTAGGTGAAGATGTGTAGAACAGAGATGTGCCTTCCAAGAGTGTCAAATTGGGGAAGGTATGTTGTCCAAAGGGGAGTGGAGGAAGGACTGGGGTGGGTGGGACCAGAGGCCCTCGGAACACTTGTTACATTCTCTTACTGGTATCTCTGACCCTCAGTCTTGCTGAGTCTCTCTATTGCTGCGTCTCCTCCCATCTCTCAGTGTCTCTGACTTTGTCTGGGGGTCCTGGTCCTCTGCCTAGTCCTGTTACCAAGCACAGCGCAAGGCACGGTAGGCTCTGTGGTTATTGGCTGGCTCCTACCCCAGACCTTCGTCTTCCGTCTCAATCCCGGGTTCTGCCTCACCTTGGTTCTGTCCCTCTGTCCATCCTTCCTCATTGGTGCATTTCTCTCCATCTCGTAGGTCTCTCCCATCTCTCTGTCTCTCCCTCTTGGCTTCTAAGTGTCTTTCCCAGTCTACAGTTGTCTCTCTCTCCATCTCTTGTCTCTCCCCATCTCTGTCTCTCCCTGTCTCTGCCCGCATGGTGGGTCCGGGTGGGTCCCGGACTGCCCCGCCGAAGCGCCGGGCGCCCAGGCGAACAATGCTCCATTCACGCGGCCCTCCGGTGCCATGGCAACGCTCCCGCCCCGCCCTCCCCACCCAGGCCGCCAGTGCCAAGAGGAT